TTTTTTTTTTTTTTTTTTATATTTTTTTTTTATCCCTCCATTTTAATGTCATGGATTTTTGAATGTACACCCCATTTTAGGGCATAATTTTATTTTTCAAAATTAAGTATAGTTAATAAATAAAAACCAATCAAATCTATATCTAATCACACTCTAAAAAGTCGGTTACGTTAGGTTTGAGTGAGATTTTAAGTCTGGATTAAAATTATATTTAAAATAAAATAGTTAAAATTGATTTGATGTAAAAGTATGAGAGATATGATTGGAAGCAATAGTAGTTTAAATTATGTGAGTGGATGACTAGTGAATTAAAGTTGATATTATGGTATGTGAGGATAATTGATTGATATTATTTAATTATACTGGTAAATATTGCGAAGAGTGGAATTGAGTTAAATTTGAGTCAATAATAATAATTGGATAATTTAAATACAAATATGTATCCAAGCACACCTTAATCGACTCGGTTATTAAACAAGCTGAGTCGAGCTCGTTCGCGAAGAACTCGTTTATTTTCTTTAGTTATTTTATAGGTTCGATCGAACAGCCGAGTCGAGCATGTTTGTGAAAATATAAATCACGTTCGCAAATCGCCCGTTTACGATTTTGAACTTGCATACTTTCACGAACCTAAACCTACTAATATTTTGATTCATTTAGTCGAGAGTCGAGCCGAGCGAGCTCGTTTACTAAATAAGTACGAATATGTCTAGCTCAAGCCCTATTTTTCCAATACAAATTTCCAAGTTAATTATACCAAAAAAAAAAAAAAAAGAAAGGGTGGTTTCAATATTGAAGTCTTCGTCCCAACCAAATTTGAGCAGCAAATTAAATTGTACCCCTTCGGCTTGAAAAAATTATGACTGATGTAAGCTAATGAATAATGAGATCCTTTAGTAATAAATTCGGGTCTGAAAATCCAAATTATGGCCAAGGCTTCTAATCATTACCTCCTCTCTAAATTCTTCAGCCCTTTTCATAATTGATTTTCCTTTTTTTCAATTTTTCTTTTGGAAAAACCATTTAAATCTTATATGGTTCTCGATTCAAGTTGAACTGGTGACCCGTAGACCTGCCCAGTCGATTATCGAACTTTAATAACTATGTGTTTGGGTCTGTTTATCATTTTTATTTTATTTTAGTTTTTTTTTTCTTTTCCTTTTTGTCTTCACTTCATAAATGTAGGCCAATTATTCAAAAGATTACATGGCCACAGCCATCAAACATTTACTCATCCCACTTGAGTACGCATCATAATCTGCATTTGCCTATAAATTACACCAATTTTTTTTTTTTACCCAAACCCAACCATCATTTCCAAATCCAGTTATCTCTAGCTTCCCTACTTTAAAAGTTTATAACTAAAAGTCAAATTTACTATAGCTCAATGTGAATAATGTTTTTAGAGAAATGCTACGGTCCCGTAACGGAATCATTCCGTCGGAGTTTGTTATTGTTAGATCAACTATCCTCGACGGTTACATGATGATCTAACGGTTACAAGTTCCGACAGAATGGTTCCGTAACGAAACTGTAGCATCTCCCGATGTTTTATTGAATCTAATAGCTAAATTCAAAAGTCTAATGTTCTTTTGATTATAATAAAATATTTATTTTTAGCCCAATATAATCATCCACCTACTAAGGATCAATATATATACACTACTACAAGTATGATGGTGTTAAGTAGACATAGTGATTAAATTTTAAAAACCATCAAAATTTCAATAGATATATGTGTTAATTTTCAAAATAAAATAAGGTAACATAAAGAAATGTATGACATTTCATAACGCAATTATTGCATTTATGCTAAAAATGAAAAATGAATCGACGCGCATAACGATTAAGTCAGTTCATAAAAGAAATATTTGTGTGTGAGATTTGTTCGTTTTGGCCTTATTACATAAAATTAAAAGCATGGTTTTTAGACCCTAACCGGACGACATTTAGCGTTTAGGTTGATCACTCAGACCGGTTTACAATTAAATTGGTCAAGACCCAAATTGACTTAGTAAAAAACCTAACGACCTGTCGTGGCTCAGTCAGTACTAACATACACCCAATCGGATCAACCATGTTGACCGGTCATTTTTTATTTCTTTCTTCATATAGAAATTAATCTGGTCACGTTGTAGTTGGATAACCCAAAGATTGATCGGGTCAAAGTTAGGGACAAAAAATTAGAACTCGACTAAATCACATTACTTGTTATTGATTCACTTAATCCCTAAATCGTGGTTAAGTACAATTCATTCAACTCAATCTGCATTCGTTTTATCGGCTCGATTCAATTCTATCAGTGACTGCACTGCAATTACATACTATTTTTACCATTTGGACAATTAAAAAACTCAAGCAACACGGTGAATTTTTCTCATTTACTTTTCATAATTACGGGGTAAAAATGCATGATTGCAAATAACCAGAGTTAAATGTGTAAAATCCGATTGGGATTATTGTCACATTTTTTGAGTATACAAAGGGGCTACAGAAGGAATAATAATGTGACAAGAATTTAATGCGCTTGGATTTTAACCTTTTGGGTTAATACTGTCAGCCCATCCGATTACCTCATCACATTAATACTGTAAGATTATAATGATTTCACATAATAACCATCTTCTGCAAGGCTTATGATGAAATTAAAAATGATGGTGCATTGAACCCTACACTACACAAGAGCTTACATTTAGTATTTAGTAGTCATATGTAGACATGGCCAAAACACGCCGGCCCCGGCCTGGCAGGCCGACAGGCTTGGAAACGTGGACCCTGAACAGGCACGGACCTAGGTCGTGCCGGGTCCATGGCTCAGCAGGCCGGGCCGGGCCCTGTCCAAACATCAAAAAAATTAAAAACGATCAAAAGCACCTGGGCCGGATAAAACCCGGCTCGGTCCGCTGGACCAGTGTCGAAAAAACAAGGCTCTGGACTGGCCCTGTTAAAATTTGAGCCTCTGGACCCGTGGTCAACAGTGTTGACCGTGCCGGGCCAGTTGGCCCTGTGGCGATCTCTAGTAATATGTGTTTATTATTACATTCGTATATGACACGGGTACTTATTAAAAAAAATATTTCTTCAATTTCAAAATGAATGAGAAAAAATTATTTTAAATTTAAATATTTTTTCACAAAAAAAAATGATCAATTATATATTTTAGAATGACATTTTATTTTTTTGCGACTCACTTGTGCTATATTATAATAATTCTAACTTATACAATATAACTACTTTTAACATAAATATATTAATTAGAAAATTTTACTAATTAATATTAATAAATAATTTATTATTAATATTATAAATATAAATATAATTTATTTATTTTATACATACAATATGGATGACAAATCGAAACTCATCAAGAGATGATTAATTTGATATATTATATGTATAAAACAAGAAAAAATACAAACGTTATTAACATTTAAATATATTTACAATTTAATAATTATAATAAGAAATGATATTAAAATACATTTAATACATCTATAATAAACGTAAATAATCAATAGATTTATGAATAATCCATACCTAATTAGTTTTAGATTGAATGTAAATTAAAATCTATCCAAGCTAAATAACGAAGCATGAAATTTCGTTACACATGATTCCGAAAAATGCGAGCCCGCCACTTAACCTCAACCTGTTCGAGAATTATATATAAAAAGGAAATGTCTCTATAACAATCAAAGTATCTTCATATTAATTACTAATAACTGCAAAATCTTATTCTAATGGTAACAAAACATTCAGTGATTTTCTACAATATGTACTCCAAAAGCGACTATTAAATAAGTTTTGTTTGTAGAAAATATCATTTGAATATGTATGATAACATTTGAATATAACTACACAATAACAACATAAAAATCAATTATGAAAACTTTATTATGATATTTATCAAAATATTACAATAGAATCTTATTTATCAACTTTAATAACAAATCACTATGTTTTCTTATTTATACGATAAAAAATAAATGTATTCATATTAAAAACGTGTTTAGTATAAAATAATTTAAAATAATAATTAGTATGTTTATCCCTATGGATTTAAAAATTAATGCTAAAAATATAAAAATATAAGTAAACAATTATACTTGTAGGATTATGTATATATGATATTAAAATGATAAACCAAAGGGTAATTTCTTGAAATATCAAATAAATTATTATATTATAAAGAATCAAAATATTTATAATATTTATTGTTATAAATCATGATAAATCAATGAGTTATTTGTCGAAGTAACATCCAAATTATAAGTTTAGGAAGAAAAATCTGAACTTATAACATTGTTACAAATAAATCACTTGTTGATTATTATTATTATTATTTTTTTTTGGTACAAGAAATGGAGGCAAAACACAATGCCTAAGTCAAAATATTCCTAGACGAGCAACGCCCACCCTATCATGATGCAGCCACATATATTTTACCCCCGTCGGGGGGGTCTCCAACCTCTCACCCGGACACTTCGCCGCCAGAGAGGCGAGATAATCTGCCACAAAATTGGCCTCCCGATAGCCATGAGCTAAGTGCACTTCCCATTGACGACGTAGAAGCTCGAGTATACCCTTCACCAGTCCACCGTACGGACCACTACAACGCTCGTGGGTGATCATCTCAACAATACTCTTATTATCAACCTCATCAGAAACACGACGAGCGCCAACGTCCCACGCAAGGAGCAGGCCCTGGAATAATCCCCAAAGTTCAGCCCCAACAATCGAACAAAACCCAATATTCATAACAAATCCGTGGACCCAACGCCCGCCAGAATCACGAACTACGCCCCCCGCACTAGCCATACCCATGGATGGGTCAAAACTGCCATCGGTGTTGACTTTAAACACTCCGTCTGCCGGAGCCGACCACGAAACCAGCCGCCTTGTTGACATCGTTTTCACTAAACCAAGTTAAGCAACACTGATCAGGTGATTATGCTCAGTAGGAGGAAAATTATATTCGTACAAGTGGAGGACATCTTCAAGGATCCCAAAACAATCACATATCGGGTGAAAATTGATCAAGAACCGACATCTTCATCAACTGACCGATATCTCATATCGGTTATGACATGTCGGTAACAACATGTCGGATATGACATATCGGTTATAACTACACGAGCCGATATCTATGACTTGCCAAACCGACACCATGAGGCGGTGCCAACTCAGCACAAGTCATCATTACGCCTGGCCAAGTGGCACGCTACCGAGATGAATGACAATTAGCCGCCGTTGACTATTCTCATGTAATGATTATGTTGCTGATAAGTATTGCAAGTTAATATAAAATGAGGAGATAGATTCTCCAAGGAGACACGAGAAATATACAATAATATTCAATAAGCTTTGTTCTGTAACTTTGTTCTGTTTGGACTTTCGTATGTTCTTTGCTAATCTAAGTTGAACACACGACGAACTTTTCACATAGTTGTTAGTTACCATATAACAACAGTTTGACGCTAGAAGGAGGGCCCGTAAATTGTTCGGGTTAACCTTTGCCGGAAAAATAATCGCTTCGTTACCAAAAACGATCACTCCAAGTTAAGTTTATCTGTTCATACTTTCACTCTTAATTTATCTGTACTCAATACCTTATCCTG